GGAGAGAGAGAGGATAGAGAAGAGATGAGTGAGGTATGACAGAGAGAGGAGATGAGAGAGACGAGAGGAGAGAGAGAAAGTTAACGAGAGAGGAGAGACGAGAGAGAGAGAGAAGAGTCGAGAGAGAGTGAGAGAGAGAGAGAGGAAGAGACGGAGATGAGGAGAGAGAAGGAAGAAGAGATTGAAATATTATTCAAAGTAACAGGAAGAATGTTTTAGCATGAAATAATTACATTCAAAAAACTTTATATATATATATTTAATATATAAATATAGTATCAGGAGTAAATAATAATAATAGATCTATTATATATTATTATATATCTATATTATATCTATAATCTATTATTATATATCTATATTATATCTATAATCTATTATTATTCACTCCTAATAGTATATATATATATATATGAGTGTGTGTGTGTGTGTGTGTGTGCGTGCGTGCGTGCGCGTGCGTGTGTATAATATATATATATATATACATAGATAGATAGATACATAGATAGATAGATAGATATATAGATATATACATACATATATAGATAGATATATAGTATATCTATATAGATCTATATAGATAGATATATAGAATAAAGGAATCTCGCTCACCTTTAACGCCTTGTCTGTAGGTAGTATGCACGTACCGGAGCCCGGACACGATCTCTCTCTGCACCCAGAAGTTGACCTCGAGTCGATAGCTGCAGCCTTCCTTTATGCGGAATGGCTTCGTTTTCAGCGTCGTCAGGTCACCTTGAAACGAACGGAGAACTTCGTTTATTTGCCGAATCTTATTTTCGATCTTAAATGCCAAAGACTTTATAGAATTCATTATATATTATTTGCCAAAGTTTTATAGAATTCAAACGTGATCCTGGATGACGAATTTACCACACGTCATATCGCCCCAGTAGATCAAGCGCCGCTACCGCTTCGACTTCGGCGTACAAGTCTGCTTTTTCTTACGTTTGCGACCGTTGTCCGCCATGACAGCAGCAACCCTGCCTTGCATTAGGGATTATCCCTAATTGAAGCGCGATTGCCAATTATCGATTATCCCTAATTCAAGCTGGAGGACATGTTGTAAATGCTCAGTGGCGCTCATAGGGTCTATGTCCCCCAGGGTACTATCGGAGGGTATCCTGGGTAGGCCCTACAGTTCAATATATCGGGACGTACCCTGGTAACTATCTGATATGGACCGTTAGGGTTAGGGTTAGGATTAGGGTTAGGGAGTAGGCGTAGGTGACTCCCTAGACTCGTTAGTGGAGTAGGCGAGGTACGGTCCGGCATATTAGACAGTACCAGGGTACGTTCCGATAGTACCCTGGTGGACATAGACCCTCTCAGCCTCAGTGGAAGTGGTCACCCTCGGGTGTCATGTTACTTGGGGGTAATACTGCACAGCTAACTCTGTTGTCCGGCCTTAATGGCAGCATTATCATGGTAACAGTAAGATAAGGACCTCCATAGAAACTTCGACGGCTGGAGGAGATGATAGAACACTCAATGTCAACGTTCTGTTGAAAATTTGATCAGCGTTTTAACTAATCGACCGAAAGTCGGCGCAGTGTACACGTAAGATATTAGCGCTCAACTAGTTGTTAGTCTCACATAGTCTCACACAACACACTAGTAATAAAACTACCTCATCACAGATTCAGGGTCTATCTATTATTATTTCTATGGATTCACACCACTGCACAAAGTGCATGAACGATAAAAAAAATTCATTTCATATGTGCAGTTGCAGGAATCATTTGGTTATATATATATATATATATATATATATATATATATATATATATGTAGTACGGCGTTTTAGCCAGGCAATTAATCAGGTAAAATGTTCAGGGACGGCGGCGAAGGACACAGAAGACATTAGCTGCATACTTAAGAGTAGACATAATTTAACGTGGACGGAAGGCATGTCCAAATGGTCCTGGTCCAAGACCTGGTCGATCGTAGGTCGAAGGTCAGACGCAAGGTACTATAGCGATGCGATGCACGAAAGTCGAGAGAAACACTGAGTGAAGACATCTGTAACAATGATGAAGAAGAAGAAGAGGAAGAAAGAAGACAGAAAACCTATGACTATTGAACTATTGTGACGTTGGAATGAAGTGTTGCCGTTTCCGCCATACGAGCATTGCGTATGGAAATGCCTACGAACAATTATGTTGCCGCTAAGGTGCATATAAGCCAGAACTTCTCTTGTACGACCTGGCTATCGACGACGGGAAGAACAGCAGAATACGATCACGACGAAGCGAGAAACAGCAGAATACGATCACGACGACAGAGGAGGAGAAAGACGAGAAGGCGAAAGAATGCAGGTTTTTGTAGCGAGATTCAGCAAATCGGCCGATTGCCGGATAACGCACGGAACAATGCAGTTTTATGCGGTGACATTCAGAAAATTGATCACTTGCCGGACGACACACATACACGCATACCACGGTTGACTGCGACGCATTAGTACAACATGTCGCAGACCACAGCAGTGAGACAGAATCCGAGATATCAGCTGGATGAAGGGCCTACCGCTGGTGACCAAGCGAGAAAGATCGCAATGGATGAACGACACTGCAATACGTGTTACGGGTGAGTAAATTAAGCAATCTTGTGTCGGCATCTATTTTCGATTTTCGTAATTCAACTGGAAACTATAGTTTTCCAACCGCATGTTTTATAATGCACGAGTGTGTCAGCGAAATACTAAAGCACTTTTCCTACCTATAACTCCCACCCCTACCAGCACCCCCACCCCCACCGCCTGGCTTACGAGTTTCGAAACTGCGTCGTACAATGCCCGAATTCGGACGTAAATACGTCGAATAGTACGAATCTGTGTAGTTAAGAATGCGTCAGGTACGCATTTACTTGCCGCAGGAGGCAAGGTTGGCTGTTATAAAGCCATGATGACTCAAGGCATATAGTCCTAAGGGAATGAGTCGAGGTGCTAGTTTACAGTGTGCCGGTCAGCACCAACGCGATCACCAGTTGGCGTATGGTTGCGAATAAAAAAATCAAGTGGCATAAGTTTCCCGAACGCAACAGCCACGACGCAAACTAAATAGGTTTTATAGGTTGAAGTACGCACAAGCACGCAGGTGATCGCAGACCACACGCAGAGTATGTTCAAGAATTTTTTAACTGTTCAAAATTCTCTGCGAATGCCTGCGATCATTTATACGGCAACAGGGACGCATACAGGTACGCTACGCACGGAACACGATCGCCAACACGATCGCAACACAATCGCAACAGGTACGCTAACTCATAAGTTATAAACGCAGGTGATCGCAGGTCCAATTTGAGGTATGCTGCCAGGTTTTGGTAGGCGTTATCTGTTGCGATCATGTTGCGTGCCTGTTGCGTTCATGTTTGCGTGTGTAGCGTACCCCAACCTATTTGTGCGTATTCCCAGCGTATCCCAACCTATTAGTTGCGTCTTAGTTGCGTACTACATGCGTGTTGGAAATGGTATAAATAGTTGGCCTCTTTCTAGATCGGTGTCAGTTGTTCGGTGGACCTCCGAGGTGACAACATGGAGCTACCTCTTGCTGTTATGGATATCAGTTAATCTGGTCATTTAAGACACTCCCAACACATACAGAATAGAATAACAGAAGGGGAGAAGAGAAAGAAGCAGAAGACGAAGAGAAGAAGAAGAAGTAAGAAGAAGAGAAGAAAGAAGTGTGTGGGTTAGACCCATAGATAGCAGGAGGCCTTGACTTTCGGTCTCACGACCAGCTGTTCTGTGGACGGCTCCGGCAACGAAGAACCAAAGCCTGCATTCAGAAACTTCATGAGGAGCGCGCCCCCCCGCAGATAGTACGATGAGCTGCGTACGGCGAGAGTTGGTCTCAGCATCACGCAAAGCAAAACACCAAGTACAGGTTGCCCCTGGACCCTGGCCTGAGGCTGCGCATCACATTTTTACAAGTTTTTACGCAGCGTGATACCGATATTTCGCACTTAGCACGCAACTAAGCCACCAGGTCCAAACGCACTTGTAAGTTTTGAAACGCAACTCCAAACGCGATCCGTAAAGTTCTGCACGCCACACTCACACGCGCAACTCGTACGCAGTGAATCGCAGATGATTGGGGGATCAATAAGTTCATTCGCACCCACGACCAAACCCATAGCGACGCCACACCCGCACCACATGCAACTCACAGCAACCATAGGTTGAATAGCTAAGAAATTGACCAAAATTGTTGATTTGGGTTGCGTTTGGTGCGTGATAAAAATATTTTTTAGACGACGCAAGCTCATAGGTTTCAGGCATACGGCTAATGGTGTGAGGGGCCTTAAACATATTTTTATACGCACCATAAAACGCAACCAATCAACAGATTTTGTCAATTTCTAGCGGCTATTCAACTATGGTGTCGTGTGGGTGCGTGTGGGCGTTGCGTATGGGTTGCGTGTGGGTTGCGAACTGAACTTATGATCCCCCAATATCTGCGATCACCTGCGTGCGAGTTGCGTGTGAGTTGCGTGCAGAACTTGCGAGATTGAGTTTGAGTTGCGTTCAAAACTTACAAGTTGCGTTGCACCTGCGTGCTAGTTGCGTGCTAATTGCGAATATCGTATCGATCACGTGGTAAAAACCTGTTAAGGCCCCGTCACACCATAGCGTATGCTGAAACCTATGAGTTGCGTGTAAAAAATATTTTTATACGCACCAAACGCAACCCTAATCAACAATTTTGTCAATTTCTAGCCTATTCAACCTATGGGTTGCGTGTGCGTTGCGTGTGGGTTGCGTGTGGGTTGCGTATGGGTTGCGTGTGGGTTGCGAACTGAACTTATGCTCCCCCAATATCTACGCAATATCAACACGCAACTCACACGCAACTAATAGGTTGGGGATACGCTGGGAATACGCACAATAGGTTGGGGGTACGCTACACACGCAACAGGCACGCAACACGATCACAACATGATCGCAACAGGTACGCAACATGTACGCTACCAAAACCTGGCCAGATACCTCAAATTTGGACCTGCGATCACCTGCGTTCATAACATGAGTTGCGATCGTGTTGCGATCGTGTTCCGTGCGTAGCGTACCTGTTGCGTCCCTGTTGCGTCCCTGTTGCGTCCCTGTTGCGTATAAATTGATCGCAGGCATTCGCAGAGAATTATTGAACAGTTCAAAATTTCTGAACTTACTCTGCGTGTGTCTGCGATCACCTGCGTGCTTGCTGCGTGCTTGCTGCGTACTTCAAACCTATAAAACCTATTAGTTGCGTGTGAGTTGCGTTCGGAACTTATGCCCACTATATTTTATTCGCAACCATACACAACTGGTGATCGCTATGGTGTGACGGCACCTTTACTCTGCATGTGTCTGCGATCACCTGCGTGCTTGTTGCGTACTTCAAACCTATAAAACCTATTAGTTGCGTGTGAGTTGCGTTTGGAACTTATGCCCACTATTTTTTATTCGCAACCATACGCAACTGGTGATTGCTATGGTGTGACGGCACCTTTAAGGCTCCCCTAGAATCCCCCATAGAATCCTTCCCTAGATTCCTTGCTCCCCTAGAATTGCGGAAAATGATCCACAAGAGTAAAAGTGAGATGATAGCGAGAGTATTTCGAAATGACAGTACTTTAACGAGGCCAACAGAGCCCGGGGCTTGTAGTATAGCAGCGCAGCAAAATAAACTCGGCACGACACTTTTGTATGAGATCTATAACTTTTTACACGAATTTTAACTTTTTATCCGCGGATT